ATAGTATTAAAATGTCAACACATGAAACCTACGCTCAAGTGTCTTTCTCAAAGTCTCATAAATAAACAAATCTTGAGATCCCAGTTTTGCATCTCCTAAGTGTGTTTAGGTCTTGAAGCCAGCCAAGAACATGACACAACAGGAAGCATGCTCTTAAAAAAAAAAAAAAGGACTTAAAAAAGAGCCAGTATAGGGCTTTTATGTTTAATTATGTATTATGTTAATTTTGCATTATGTTAATTAAGTTATTTTTTGTAGCATGTTAATTTTATTACGTTAATTTTCGTAGAATCATAGAATTGTCTGGGTTGGAAGGGACCTTTAAGATCATCTAGTCCAACCATCAACCTAACGCTGATAAAAACCATCACTAAAGTAGTTTTTAAGTACTTTACTAAAGTACTAAAGTAATTTCAAAGTACTAAAAAGATCTGTGAATGAGATTTATTCCTCAACAGGGAAGACTTGGTAAGAATAAACAGGCCAGTTCAGTCTCTGTCCTAAACTCGCTGGTTTTGTGGGAATTTTAAACCAGATGTGAAAGCTGAATTTACATGAGAGAGCAATCCATCATGTGACACATATCTCTTGGCTTTCAGTATCTGAAACGCCTGTGTAGTTTTTTACCTACCTAAGTAAGAGTAAGTAAAAGAGTTTAAAATTTAAATGGTTTTGTGAGTAAAAGGAAATTGCTCAACCTAGTTAAGGACACACAACTCAAATACAGGACTCAGCTTCAGGTTCAGCTGAAAATTAGACCCTGCTGTTCTTTAAAAGGCAGGAGTGACAGCACCTCCGTGGGACCCTGACGTGGAGGAGGACACGGGGAGATGGAGGGAAGCCCCCAGGGAACTGCTGAAGGTCCTAACCAGCTACTGCACCCATTTTCCAGCGGGTCCCGTGGCTGCAGCTGCGCTCACGGGAGGCACCGAGCGGCAGCAGTGGCTCCTGTTCACCCGTCCCTGTGCAACACCAGTGCTCACCACGGCTCCCCAGGTAAGGGCACCAGGCTGGGGACACAAACACCACACACGAGCAGAAACATGATTGATTACAGCACCTTGTGGGAGAAGGGGGACAATGGAGGCAGCAGTGAGAGCAGGAGGTGGCTGGAGCATTTAAGTACCATCAGGGATGACCACAGCTCGCTCTTTGGCTGAACCCCCCCCAGACACACCAGCTCTAATAACAGACAGAGAATCATGTACCATGGTTGAGAGGAGGAAGAGTGTGGAAAGGAACAGGGAATAAATTCCTAAGATCAGTGCTGAGATGCAACTGAGTGTGTGTTTCAGTGTTAGACGTGCCCCTCTCCTCTGGCACGGGAGGACAGACCGGCCCAGTAGCTCAGGCACAGAAGGGCACCGTCTGTCCCCGCTGGCACAGGAACTGCAGTGCTGTGTCCCAGGGACCACGCAGGCCAGTGCCCTGCAAACGTGTTATGGGGAAACCACGTGCCAACCGAGCTCCAAAGTACCCCCACAGGAGGTATATGTAGCAACCAATGCTACGTGCCCGTTTTGAAAAATGCAATCTTACTGTTTTCAGGCTTAAAAACAGTATAAACGCAGAATTCCTTGAGGCTCAACTAAAGTCTGACTTAGGAAAGCAAAGAAAAATACCCAACCCATTGGCCAATCCAAGCCTGTTCTTGTGGCATCAGGTTTTTTGACAGCAATAGCTGGGTTCCAGTTCAGTTTCAGAGGAACACTGTGGCCTCTGTAGCAGAGACAGCAATACAACAGCACAGGGAGTTCACCCTGTCACAACACAGAGTGAAACAAATCATCCCCATCCACTTCAGCAGTGATTGAAGCTGACCTACCTTGGTCACACTGAAACAGGGCAGGAGGGGCAACCCCACGGTGAAGTTAATGCCTCTGGGCTGGAACGGTGGGGACCTAGAAGATGGGCTAAAGGATAAGAGCTACAGGGACAGTAGGTTCTCAGTGTTCAGCTAAATTTTCAAGAAAACAGAAATTGACATATTAACACACTGGAAAGATGTTACTACTGCCTGAACTCTTCCATTAGGAGGTGTATTTGAAGCTTTATAGTCTTAGGGATACAGTACATCTACCTACCTTTCACTGTACGCAGTAATTTTATTGCCTCACGTCTCTCCCTTGTCCCCCCAAAGACCTACAGTAGACACGGGTGTGTGGCTGGTGACAGTCCAACAATTTTTCAGTCCTGCAGAAATCTTTGATCTCTGGGTGTGGGATCTTCAACAGGGCAACATTCACCAGTCTTTAGAAACCTGTCTGCAACTGCTGGACTCCGCGCAGGCATCACATTCTCCTGGAGCGAGAGCACAGGCTGATGTTCCCCTACTGCCTGTTGTCTTTGGACACGTTGTGTGCCAGCCAGTTCACTTTGGTTTTCCAGCTCTCTCGCAGGGCTTCGTTAAACTTCAGCCTGAAGTGCTTCAGTGCCTCCTCATCCGTCTTCCCAAGAGCCAGGGAATCCTGAAGGAAAGGGGCAGAAATTGGTGCAGCCTCACTGAAAGTGCAACTGAACAATTAACTGTTCAACTACTACGGTGTTTACTCACTAAGAAATTACTCCATTGAAAGGTGCACCAATAGAGTAATCATTAATTGTTTTAGATAGTTACAGTAGTTGCACAAGGTTTTTTTATCTGATGAACTGTTCAACTACTATGGTGTTTACTCACTAAGAAATTACTCCATTGAAAGGTGCACCAATAGAGTAATCACTAATTGTTTTAGCTAGTTACAGTAGTTGCACAAGGTTTTTTTTATCTGATGACTACACGTGTCCTACTCCTGTGTTGGGAGTAAGGGAACAGCAGGGGTTTTAGTGCTCTTGTACGAAGCTGCTGTCTCTCAGAGGAGGCTGGGCACAGGAAATGATACACAACCCAAGTGCTGTCCCCTTCCCTGCGAGCTGGCTCTACATGGTACCTTTCTGCTGCAGCATCTGAAGTTATTTCCTGAGCACCGAAGAAGATACAAACTCTGGTAGCTATTCTTGTGGAGTCGAGAAGCAAAGGAATCAGTACAGGTATCAGTGTGAAATTAGAACTATGCTGACCACTTGCATGCATTAGAATAAAACAGCAAACAAACACTACAACATTTTTTTCTAGGAGGAGCTACAAGCGATTTGTGACTCTGCTGAAGCCAAGTCAGTCTTCAGACTGATAAGCACAGTGTTTGAGTTTGTCTGCAGACAATTTTATGTCTGAATGCTATGAATTGCTCCACTGTAATTCCAAAGTGGGTATTATCAGTGGCAGCTGATGGCAGTGATGCTTACAGAATTGTAATGCAAATTATAAAACTGCATTTACCCTCTTAAGGATAGAAACTATTGAGAATATTTGTCCAGTCTGCCTCTCAGCTGGAAGGTGAGGTCTGTTCCTCAGCAGAGGGGTTCCAGGGGGATTTCTCTGGCCATTGCTAAGCAGCATTCCTGCCCCTCTCCCAGCAGTCCCAGCAGCAGTGACCCCCATACCTGGCCAGTCTCCCGGATCATGATGTTGTCGCTGTGCCGATCCCCGATCCCCAGCACGTAGGTGGCCACGCAGTACCCAGCACAGGACAGGGTGAACTCCTCTATCGCTTGTTCTAACGCGTCACTAAGGAGGGTAAGAAAAAAATTGGAAGAGAATTTTACTTTGAACATCAGTACTTCACCACTGGGAAAGTTGTTTTTATAACCTGCAGGAGAAGGTAAGGGGATCACACGTTTGAGTTTCTGTAGTGCTCTCCAGAGGCAGTACAGGCTTTACTCCCATCCAGGCTTTACAAAAACTAGTGGCAATAACAGCTATCTGCAATTGGAGAGGTCTAGATAAGGCTGTGTCCACAGTCTCAATGAAAATGATTTAGTCTCAACTAAATTAATTCATTTCTAGATCTCCACAGATCTGAAACACAAAGTGGGCTCCTAGAATGTCTCCTGTTGGTGCCTGGCTACATCAGAGTAACACTGATGTCCTGCTGCTCTCTGTTTCTGTATCTAGTAAAACCCCCAGTTACACGCTTTTCTGAGGCTTTCTTTTTTCACCTCCCAGTTTTGGCATTACTCCTTCTGCCCCTCTTCCAGCTGCCACCACGCTGACTATCTATCGCTGGAGAAGATAACAGGACTGAGAGGAAGATCAAAGTTTGGATCCAGCCTGTGGACAGTGCTACCTTAAGCTATGAAAGATCAAAAAAGCCACTAATTGTTTTAGCTAGTTACAGTAGTTGCACAAGGTTTTTTTTATCTGATGACTACACGTGTCCTACTCCTGTGTTGGGAGTAAGGGAACAGCAGGGGTTTTAGTGCTCTCGTACAAAGCTGCTGTCTCTCAGAGGAACCTGGGCACAGGAAATGATACACAACCCAAGTGCTGTCCCCTTCCCTGTGAGCTGGCTGTACACGGTACCTACTGCCTTTCTGCTGCAGAATCTGAAGTTATTTCCTGAGCACCAGTACTTATCTGGTATTTCTGATGTCCTGCATGTGCATGTCTACTCATGATTTTTGGAGCCTGTCCACCTGAACAACTCCTCACTGAGCTACAAGATCAGGTATTCAGTTTTACCCCTCTCTGGGCTCTGCTTCTCTTACCTTTAGATACTGAATGTCCTTTGAGCAGCTGAGTTCCGGCAGGCCGGCAGCTTTCATCAGTGCAAACAAGTGCAGGAAGAGAAGACCATGGCGCCTCAGGATCATATAGGCTTTCTCACAATAACCCCTGAAATCAGAGTAACACTGATGTCCTGCTGCTCTCTGTTTCTGTATCTAGTAAAACCCCCAGTTACACGCTTTTCTGAGGCTTTCTTTTTTCACCTCCCAGTTTTGGCATTACTCCTTCTGCCCCTCTTCCAGCTGCCACCACGCTGACTATCTATCGCTGGAGAAGATAACAGGACTGAGAGGAAGATCAAAGTTTGGATCCAGCCTGTGGACAGTGCTACCTTAAGCTATGAAAGATCAAAAAAGCTTGCAAACAGTAACCCAGATGCCTTCATTTCAGTTCCAGACCGACACAGGTCCACGTGATCCCTCCCTGTGTGCCAGGCAGCAAAGCAGCCACGGATAGTGTGGGACAGCTTGGAAATAGGCATAACTGAAGGAAAAAATTGAGTAAAGCAGAAGAAACACCTCTAGCTGGAAGGAAGCCGTGAAGCAGCACTGAGGACAAGGTGAGCCCACTCACCCGGGGTTCTTGGACTTCAGCCAGTTGAGCAGCGCGTCCTTGTTGAAGGCGGCGGTGGCCACCATGTTGCTCTTGTTCAGCTGGATGTTGGCGATGGTGTCCGAGTGCATGACTACCTCGATCAGTCCAGTCTTGTCTCCTGTGGAGAGGCAGCCATAAGGGGTCATCCTGCAGAGATGAAAGAAACCCTTCCACTGAAATCTCACCCAGAATGGGGTTCTGTTGACTTTCAGATTTTTGTCTGCCGTATCTATCTACTCTGCATTTCTACTCCTCCGTCACACCCAACCCCACCAGCTGCTCACAGAACACTGAAAGACCTACAGTAGACACGGGTGTGGGGCTGGTGACAGTCCAACCATTTTTCAGTCCTGCAGAAACCTTTGATCTCTGGGTGTGGGATCTTCAACAGGGCAACATTCACCAGTCTTTAGAAACCTGTCTGCAACTGCTGGACTCCGCGCAGGCATCACATTCTCCTGGAGCGAGAGCACAGGCTGATGTTCCCCTACTGCCTGTTGTCTTTGGACACGTTGTGTGCCAGCCAGTTCACTTTGGTTTTCCAGCTCTCTCGCAGGGCTTCATTAAACTTCAGCCTGAAGTGCTTCAGTGCCTCCTCATCCGTCTTCCCAAGAGCCAGGGAATCCTGAAGGAAAGGGGCAGAAATTGGTGCAGCCTCACTGAAAGTGCAACTGAACAATTAACTGTTCAACTACTACGGTGTTTACTCACTAAGAAATTACTCCATTGAAAGGTGCACCAATAGAGTAATCATTAATTGTTTTAGATAGTTACAGTAGTTGCACAAGGTTTTTTTATCTGATGAATACACGTGTCCTACTCCTGTGTTGGGAGTAAGGGAACAGCAGGGGTTTTAGTGCTCTTGTACGAAGCTGCTGTCTCTCAGAGGAGGCTGGGCACAGGAAATGATACACAACCCAAGTGCTGTCCCCTTCCCTGCGAGCTGGCTCTACATGGTACCTTTCTGCTGCAGCATCTGAAGTTATTTCCTGAGCACCGGTACTTATCTGGTATTTCTGATGTCCTGCATGTGCATGTCTACTCATGATTTTTGGAGCCTGTCCACCTGAACAACTCCTCGCTGAGCTACAAGACCAGGTATTCAGTTTTAACCCTCTCTGGGCTCTGCTTCTCTTACCTTTAGATACTGAATGTCCTTTGAGCAGCTGAGTTCCGGCAGGCCGGCAGCTTTCATCAGTGCAAACAAGTGCAGGAAGAGAAGACCATGGCGCCTCAGGATCATATAGGCTTTCTCACAATAACCCCTGAATCTGTTCAGAAAGGAAAATGAGGCAAAGGAATGAAGACTGCAAACTGTACCTTTTTTTTAGCAAGACTAGGTATTGGTCTGAACCCTGCTGTCTGCATCGATAACTACTGAGCCCCTCCACCTTCTCTAACAAGTAGATAATAATTTATTTGCTTTCGTGTGTATAGACAGCTATAGGCTATGCATCATTGGGGAAAATAACATCTGAAAATTCAGAGCTTAAAAAGCTTAAGTCAAGTCAAGTTTAACAGCTAAAACTCACCTTTCAAACTTCTCATTGTTGTTAGTTTTTCCTTGCTGGATGACGTGCACGAAGTCGTAGGTTAAGATGAAAGGAACTCGCTCTCTATTAATACCAAATTTAGTCTTGAAGTTCCCCAAAAAGTGACCAAAATCAATATGGAACAGCTGGAAATAAGGAAGAAAGAAACAGTTTTCAGAACAGTATCTATTTAGGTGATCAGTGTTGAGTTCTCTTCACAGGTACTGTATTCAAGAGATACTGCCACAGGATTTTGGGAGGGAGAAAAATGACCTCTCCTTTGGGAAAAGAGGCAACATTTACTTGCCAAGATGCTCTCCAGTGTAATTAGATGTTGGACAGGACAGAGAAGGTACTTACCTCTTCAATACTTTGTCTATCTGAAGAATGTTCTGGTTTTTTTTGTAAAACCTTAGTGTCTCACTAATAGAAGACTCCACTGGCCCTGCCGGAGACTCACCTCGCACTGTCTGGCACAGGGCTGGTTTATGGCTTTGTAGAATTACAATTAAACAAGAAATATGGCTCAGACTTCACCCTTTGCCAAAATATTGCTGATGTATTTACTACGTTAGTACTTTGGTAATCCTGTTACCAAAGGGATTTTCTTTTTTTTTAATTTTGTCCTCTATCTTCCAAACAGTGTACAAGAAGATACAAACTCTGGTAGCTATTCTTGTGGAGTCGAGAAGCAAAGGAATCAGTACAGGTATCAGTGTGAAATTAGAACTATGCTGACCACTTGCATGCATTAGAATAAAACAGCAAACAAACACTACAACATTTTTTTCTAGGAGGAGCTACAAGCGATTTGTGACTCTGCTGAAGCCAAGTCAGTCTTCAGACTGATAAGCACAGTGTTTGAGTTTGTCTGCAGACAATTTTATGTCTGAATGCTATGAATTGCTCCACTGTAATTCCAAAGTGGGTATTATCAGTGGCAGCTGATGGCAGTGATGCTTACAGAATTGTAATGCAAATTATAAAACTGCATTTACCCTCTTAAGGATAGAAACTATTGAGAATATTTGTCCAGTCTGCCTCTCAGCTGGAAGGTGAGGTCTGTTCCTCAGCAGAGGGATTCCAGGGGGATTTCTCTGGCCATTGCTAAGCAGCATTCCTGCCCCTCTCCCAGCAGTCCCAGCAGCAGTGACCCCCATACCTGGCCAGTCTCCCGGATCATGATGTTGTCGCTGTGCCGATCCCCGATCCCCAGCACGTAGGTGGCCACGCAGTACCCAGCACAGGACAGGGTGAACTCCTCTATCGCTTGTTCTAACGCGTCACTAAAGGGGGTAAGAAAAAAAATTGGAAGAGAATTTTACTGTGAACACCAGTACTTCACCACTGGGAAAGCTGTTTTTATAACCTGCAGGAGAAGGTAAGGGGATCACACGTTTGAGTTTCTGTAGTGCTCTCCAGAGGCAGTACAGGCTTTACTCCCATCCAGGCTTTACAAAAACTAGCAGCAATAACAGCTATCAGCAATGGAGAGGTCTGGGTAAGGTTGTGTCCACAGTCTCAATGAAAATGGTTTAGTCTCAACTAAATTAATTCATTTCTAGATCTCCACAGATCCAAAACACAAAGTGGGCTCCTAGAATGCCTCCTGTTGGTGCCTGGCTACATCAGAGTAACACTGATGTCCTGCTGCTCTCTGTTTCTGTATCTAGTAAAACCCCCAGCTACACGCTTTTCTGAGGCTTTCTTTTTTCATCTCCCAGTTTTGGCATTACTCCTTCTGCCCCTCTTCCAGCTGCCACCACGCTGACTATCTATCTCTGGAGAAGGTAACAGGACTGAGAGGAAGATCAAGGTTTGGATCCAGCCTGTGGATAGTGCTATCTTAAGCTATGAAAGATCAAAAAAGGTTGCAAACAGTAACCCAGATGCCTTCATTTCAGCTCCAGACTGACACAGGTCCACATGATCCCTCCCGGTGTGCCAGGCAGCAAAGCAGCCACAGATAGTGTGGGACAGCTTGGAAATAGGCATAACTGAAGGAAAAAATGGAGTCAAGCAGAAGAAACACCTCTAGCTGGAAGGAAGCCGTGAAGCAGCACTGAGGACAAGGTGAGCCCACTCACCCGGGGTTCTTGGACTTCAGCCAGTTGAGCAGCGCGTCCTTGTTGAAGGCGGCGGTGGCCACCATGTTGCTCTTGTTCAGCTGGATGTTGGCGATGGTGTCCGAGTGCATGACTACCTCGATCAGCCCAGTCTTGTCTCCTGTGGAGAGGCAGCCATAAGGGGTCATCCTGCAGAGATGAAAGAAACCCTTCCACTGAAATCTCACCCAGAATGGGGTTCTGTTGACTTTCAGATTTTTGTCTGCCGTATCTATCTACTCTGCATTTCTACTCCTCCGTCGCACCCAACCCCACCAGCTGCTCACAAAACACTGCAAAAAATAGGCTTGCAGACAAAATGGCCTCACCACATACACTTTATCATTGCAGTAGGACATCACTCACCTCAGGTCCAGGCCCTCCTGCTTCCACAGGATGTCCATCAACTGGATCATCTGCAGAGTCAGCATGTCCTGACGAAGATCTGTGCAGCATTATAAAGGAAAAAAGGGCTGTAAGTACCTCCTGTTCTCCCCTCCTCTTGTGCTCTTGCAAACAGCGCTTGTTCTGCCCCTGAAGCAGCCTGGAGGGGCCTTCAATACTTTGTCTATCTGAAGAATGTTCTGGTTTTTTTTGTAAAACCTTAGTGTCTCACTAATAGAAGACTCCACTGGCCCTGCCGGAGACTCACCTCGCACTGTCTGGCACAGGGCTGGTTTATGGCTTTGTAGAATTACAATTAAACAAGAAATATGGCTCAGACTTCACCCTTTGCCAAAATATTGCTGATGTATTTACTACGTTAGTACTTTGGTAATCCTGTTACCAAAGGGATTTTCTTTTTTTTTAATTTTGTCCTCTATCTTCCAAACAGTGTACAAGAAGATACAAACTCTGGTAGCTATTCTTGTGGAGTCGAGAAGCAAAGGAATCAGTACAGGTATCAGTGTGAAATTAGAACTATGCTGACCACTTGCATGCATTAGAATAAAACAGCAAACAAACACTACAACATTTTTTTCTAGGAGGAGCTACAAGCGATTTGTGACTCTGCTGAAGCCAAGTCAGTCTTCAGACTGATAAGCACAGTGTTTGAGTTTGTCTGCAGACAATTTTATGTCTGAATGCTATGAATTGCTCCACTGTAATTCCAAAGTGGGTATTATCAGTGGCAGCTGATGGCAGTGATGCTTACAGAATTGTAATGCAAATTATAAAACTGCATTTACCCTCTTAAGGATAGAAACTATTGAGAATATTTGTCCAGTCTGCCTCTCAGCTGGAAGGTGAGGTCTGTTCCTCAGCAGAGGGATTCCAGGGGGATTTCTCTGGCCATTGCTAAGCAGCATTCCTGCCCCTCTCCCAGCAGTCCCAGCAGCAGTGACCCCCATACCTGGCCAGTCTCCCGGATCATGATGTTGTCGCTGTGCCGATCCCCGATCCCCAGCACGTAGGTGGCCACGCAGTACCCAGCACAGGACAGGGTGAACTCCTCTATCGCTTGTTCTAACGCGTCACTAAAGGGGGTAAGAAAAAAAATTGGAAGAG